ATGCTTTTCCACTCAATTGAATGTTACTACCACCCAGTTGGAGTTCCTGAAAAAATGTAGTTGGTATTGCACTACCTCTGATTACTCACCATTCAGACAGCTGGTTACAACTCAGTTTGTTACTAGAATGCCTGGGCCATAATCTCTCCTCAACTTTCAGATCAGTTTCCTGTCTGCTAAATGGAATTGGATTGCCTGTTGAACTTCCCACTCATTAGAGGCTAGGCTGGGAAAAACCTGAGGGCTTTGTTCATTTCAAGGAGATTTCTTTGATTTAGCTTTCCTTTATATTTCATTTCTTAAGAGAACAAGGTATGAGTTTTCTTGTTGTCTCCAGCAGATTTCTCTTTTTGGGCCTGTGTATTGACTTTGTCACTAGTGGCATGAGGGATTTTCTTATGCAGGAAGATTCTTATCCTTGCTTCTTTAGTGGCTTGGCTTAGTGTGGGTTCTTACTTTGAGGGTTTGATGTGTGGTTGGACTCATACCAGAGGGACTTGGGGTGACTTGTTTTTTCCCTAGACCTATGGAGGAGGCATTTGACCAGCATATCTTAGGATTAAATCAGGGGCTCCTGCATGGTCTTTATATGATAGTAGAGATTTGTGTCTAATGAAGCAAATAAATTCTAGGATTTAACAAAAAAAAAACAAAAAAACATCCTTAGTTTGCAATAAATCATCAAGACTGAAACTTCACGCTGGGGTCTTATTCCATCGATCTCTTGGGGAGTAGTGATAGACTAAATGGCATATCTGGCAACGCTGCCACTGTTCCGTTTGTCAACCATTCCACATACAAAGTAACCGTTCCGAAATGGAGGAAAAAAGATTTTTGTATGGGGAACGGTCGACGAACGGAACGCTTGCATCGTTTCCAAACAAGCCTCTAAGGGAATTTGTCATGCGGACAAATATTGCCTCCATGTGTTCAAGCGATATCTGCTTTCCAGCGCTCAACACAAAATCGTTTCCCTGGTAAGAGCCATACTTCCATCCACATGTTGGATCGAGTTATCATTCTAAACTTATGAAGCGATAATTCTATTTGTGGTACCTAATACGATACCATTATTGCCTCAGTTGCCATTCCCACAAATGCCAACTCTCTTTTAGTCTTTGGGCATTTGTTCATGAACACTGCCGTGATTGGCTTGGTTGAGATTGTCCTTGAAGCTCGCCCCCGAAAGTCCCAAAGCGCTACCGATAATCAGCATCGTTGTTGACCTTTCGCACCGAGTATCCTAGTAAGAAGTTCTATGCTTTTCCAAGGTATTGATAATACTATCCCCCAATTCGTTAATATAATTCCACCCTTCCAAAAGTTTATTAGCTGCCCTGCTAGCTATTACTTGTTGCTTAAATTTAATGGAGGGGAGGGGGCCTCTCAATTGGTTAGTCAGCGCCCCAAATGAGTGGACACGACCCAGTCTAAGCCTACTGAAAGTCAGGCCAGACTAAAGCCGTGTCCAGCAAATTACAGTCCGAATGAGCCCGAAAAAAAGCTGGTGCATCTTTAACACCCAAAAAGAAGAGAATCCAAGCAACAATTCAATCTTCAACCCCAATATATCGGGGGGAACAGGAAAGCGCAGGTATGATCTGAACTCTACGTATAATGCTATTCCCTCCTAATATTTATTTATACAAAGCACTTAAGTTACCGGATATTATCTGTAGCTATCAGCTTTCCATTCAGTCTCACTGCTAATCCCCATACCTAGGAGGTAAAAGAGCTTGATTTTCAGTTTCTCTTTTCTGAGGTCTCTACGAGAGCAGAATTCAGGATGTTGAGATTTGGCCTTGGAGTTTTGGGGTAAGTGGAATATAGAGGTTCCTAATTCCGGAACGCTGGTTCTGGAAATGTGGTGTCGGGTTGTGGACTTGGGGAGAGCAAAAAGAAAAACAGAAGCTGGGCTCGGGGAGATATGTCCGCTTGCAGCCTTTGAGGTGGAATAAGGAGCTGGCTCATTGTCGCTGGCTCTTAGTTAGTTGTTGTGTTTGAAGGACGTCGGGTGTGGGGAACCTGGAGGGCTTCCTCTTCAATTTGTATCATGAATTTGAGGATTGGGTGAATGAGGGTTATTTGCGTTCGCCTGGTTTTTTCTTCCTAAATACAAACGATAGAATGCAAATTAAACCTAGGAAAACTATTTCGCTTGTCACGTGATCCCTCTTGTTCCAGGTATGATAGCTAATTAGTTTACCAGGTAACCCCATATGCTGCTTAGGACCCTTTTTAGCCAATTTGTCATCCTATCGAAAGAACCATGTCCCAGGTCCATGGACCCAGACTGATGTTCCCGTGGTTACAAGAGGAGCATCCCTGTCACACTCATGATTGGGCTCGTTGGATGGCTTGCCGTCGCCTTAACCGGCGGTCTTTTCAAGACACCCTTTTCAAAAAAATCAATGCTCTTACCCTCTACTAGAGATGCCATGCAAAGAGAGCCCGAGACTCTTGGTAACACCGATTATGTACTCACGGTAAAGTATAGAGACGCCCATTGCAGTCTCCTCTTCTGCTATGACCACATGTCCATACTATCTCTTTTATGTTGTCTCAGTTAGTGGTTGTGTTTCTAGTATTTCCTCTTCGCGTAGCCCAAAAGGGCAACTCCGACACCCGGCATATCTATCTTGTATTTGGGTGCTTACTGCACCACTTTAGTGGCTCTCTTTTTTACATTCTCTCATTTCTCCGCTCTTCTCCATGGGCGAGTTATACGTTGCAACCCCTATTTCAAACGCCCAATTCGGGAGTGGTTGTGCCTATCTGCCCTCCTCGTGCCCCACGGCGGGGCATGCCAGATATACACTACCCTTGAAAATATTCCATTGCCGAGTGATAAACTATGACTACAGTTACCAATGGAATTCGAAGGATACCAATTTTCTTTCCAGGCGCAATTCCAGAAAGCTCAAGAAGCCCAGAACGGTTTCATCCTCGAAACCCCCACAGCGCACAATTCTTGCCTTTTCAAGAAGTCAACTTTCAAATCGGTCGACATTTCTATCAGAGTTTCAGGTGATTTCTGTGACGAACTCCGATATATAAGATAAGTGCACCACCTCACAAAAAACACCAACGCTCGCCCTCAGTTCCAGCGAGCAACAATATCACCTCAAAGCACGCATCCCGCATCGAACGGCCTCCGGCCAATATCGTCACAACAACATCTGCCCGGAAATGCTCAACCAGATCAAGTCCCTCCTCGTTAGTTGCCGTTGCTTCAAACCTCCGGAGGACGGAACCTCCTCCCCTCCTTTCCCCCCTATCAGGAGGGGACCCTCTGAAGATCCTGTGTCCCCCAAAGCTAAGACAGACCTCACCACCAAACCCCCTGTAACCCCCGCGCGCCCCCATACTCCTACCCCAAATCCCACTGCCCCCTCCCAGGACGAAAACGAGGCGTTCAAAATACCCGGCCCACCAACCTGGGAAATCCCCCGTGACTCACCCGTCGTCGCCGAGACGGCCGAGGAGGATATGGGAAGGTACATGACGCGCTGTATCGACTGCCTGGAGAGGAAGGGGGAAGTCATCCCAGGGTGTGGGCACGGGGTTTGCCAGAAGTGCTTTGAGAGGTGTGGGAGGAATGAAAGGTGCATCGGTTGCCGGTCTATCTTGGGACTCTAAGGGGTGGTGAGTGGAGTAGGGAGGGGTTGGAAAGAGGTGGAAGGCAACAGGGAATTATAGGTAACTGTTTTGTTTTGGAGGTACGCTGTGGCAGAATACTTATTTTTTGGGGGTTGAAGGGTTTCTGTAAGGATTGCAGAGACGGGATTTGGGCGGGGATAACGAGACGTGGTGCTTTCTTTTTTTGCATTTCCTGAAATTTTTTGTATTGAATGATGGATGATTGTGTCTCAATATTACAATCACTTTAACCAAAGAGACTACAAAAAGAGTAGCGAATTTTGGGTCGCAAGACTACTTCACTATTCCGAGAATCTCATAGTGTGATATGCACCATATATTTTACCTATTTGCCAACTTGTGCATAGTACACTGAAGGATTTTGGGATAGTCGGTTATAACCAAACATCACCGTGATGCCCAGAAAACGGAGCGTTTGCCTAAATATAACTGACCTTACTTACCATACGGTGCTTTAACAACACTACATTCCGGCATTCTGGACAGCTGGGTATAGGCTCAACACAGTGTATCTGAAGTACGAATTATGCTGATACAAGTCCCGACCCGCAGCAATGTTTCAATATCAGAAAATTATCAAACCGATACGCCAACCGTGCTCCAAGGCTTCCCGCTCATAACCGGATGGACAGTTGCCTGGCTACGGGCACCCGCCAAATGCCCCGGGATCGAGACCCCCAAGGCTATTCTATGCGCCAAGATCACAGATGAAAAACATTGTACCTGCATCCAAACAACGATGGGGCGCTGAGAAAGCGGTTACTCGTCGGTTGGCGCTGGGGCCTGCAGACCCCCATATCGGTAGACTCCAGAGCAGGCAGAAAACTGTGACCCGTGGCGCGTGGTCCAATGTGGATACTATCCCCAACGAACCCGTTTTAACGTCCCATACAACCACCTCGAGAGCCAAAAACCGAGGTCGGCTACACACAGTGAACATTCCAATAAACATGAAACTTTCATTTCCTGTCTTTCTATTTGGGCCTACCCCGGCCGTTGAATTTATGTAACTCAACAAAACCCAGGGCAATACACAGCAGCACAGGCCCATCGCGCTTATTAAAGTGGGGAAATTCGGGTGATATGACAACAGCAATGTTTAAAACAGAAGAGAACGGAAGACAAGTAATTACAGCAGTTATGATTAATCTATCATGCTACCAGACACGCCTTTTTACGCCACCCGGGATAACTCACCTAAGGGCAGTAGCAATACATGAGGGTATAGTACAATACACAGCACGCCTCCGTCGTGTCGTGAGAATGTCACAATCTGACTAAAAAGTACAAAGGTATTATTCATTAGTTTGAAAGGAAAAGGAGAGGAGCATAAAAGAGATCTAGATATCGTCCCAGATGGGTTTCAAAGTACCGGCTCTGCCGGACCTCACCATATCGTCCTTAATTTCCTTGGCTTTGATGAGGATCTCCTCCTTGGTGCGGGTGTATCCGCTGCGGGAGTCCAAGACAATGACTTTGCCGGGTTCTAGATGGATGTTAGTATGTACGACAGTCGATATGGGGATGGGGGCAACATACCAGCTTTCTGGACCTGTGCAAGGCGTCGGAAGAGCGCTTTTAGTTCCGGGCTAGACCAAGCCCGGTCCTCACGGACTTGCGGTGAGTCATCATCCTCGCTTTCGCGGCGGCGTTTCGATCGGCGGGGGGTATTAGATGGTCTGCTCCCGAAGCTTTCTATACGAACGATTTCGACAGGAGCATCGTCGCCGATCACCGGGGCTGTCGAGCCAAGGAACTCCAAGTCTGAGAGTGAATCGTGGGACGATGGGACCGAGGGAGGCGGCCTCGCTTCGGGGGTTGGGAGAGCCCCTTGGGTGCGATACCTGGACGGGTTCGAGCGGGTGCTTCTCATCGGAGTTTGGGGCTCTACGGGGTTCAGTTTTGCAGACGCAAGAGCCTCATTTTCTCGCACTACTGAGTTCCTATTGATGCGTTTCCAATTGATACCGTCGCGTGGTGCCTCTTCCTCGAATCCCCTTTGCTCCAACATAGTTTCGACCATCTGGGCACTCCTGGTACCAGATATGATTCCAGCACCAAGATTCTCAAGAAGAGCTTCGACATCTCTGTGAGCGTCTCTGATCTCAGAAACCATGCTGCTGATATTTAAAGAGAAATCTGCCAGTGCCTCTAATGCACCATTGTCGGGGCGCTCCTCCTCGGCCAACTTGCGAATGATTTCCCGCAGAATTCGAGTGTACCCGGAGCGGGAATCAATGCCATCTCGAAGCTCCATCAGCTGGTTAGCAGTACCCGTAGTCGCTTCGAGCTGCTCCTTGAACGTCTGTAGTGCCTCACGAGATTTTTCGAGCTTTGCCCCGAGAGCGGTGGCTAGGGACATTTCACATTGGGGATCATCCTCTCCACTAGCCACAGGTTCCGATCCGACTTCAACTTCACCGTTTTCCCCACCATCGGCCTCCGCAGATAACTGCTTCCTAATGGCTTCATCCACATCCTCGTAGTTCCGAGGATTAAACTCGACGTCATTGCTTTCGGACTCTAGGTCTTCTACCTCCTCCTCTTCAATCTCATCTATCTGAGCAATCGCACTGGTCACAACGTTGTTCATGAGTTCTTCCACTACTTTTTCAGGACTCTCTTGCGACCTGTCGGCTGGCAAAAGATCACCATGCCCGTCTTCGGAACCAGAGGGAGCCTGCTCTTCCCTCGGAGATAAGAGCGTAGTATGTCTATCGGCGGGCTGTTTTTCCTTCAATTGGAGAGGGTCATGCGAGGCTGATAGGCGTGCGCCCCCTCCTTCCTCGTCTTCGCTCGGGATCCCCTCTTCTATCCTTCGTTCCGTTTCTTCCGCCAATCCCTTCTCCCTAGCCTCCATCGTAGCGAGACTTGAGCGATTTCTGTTATTCTGGGCACTCGAGCGAGGCTTCCCCGCTGCCTTTTGTGCCCCAGCAGCAACGATATCCCATGGCAGGCTTTTCCGTGGGCTTCTCCGAGGTCGGCGAGTAGCGAGAGGTAACCTCGCTTCGATAGCAGGTTCGGCAGCTTCTACAACATCGTCGCCTCGAACCTCTAGTGTGGTCGCGCGCACACGTTTGCGTGGTCTTGAGGGGAGTGTTGGTGATGACTCGCTGTCTTGGTCGATGACTATTGGAGAGATAAACCCCCCGATTCCTTGCGTGGTGGCTTCTTGCTCACCTAATCCTCTTTCTTCTTCGGTTACTGGAGGGGCTTTACGCTTTGAGCGGGGCCCATAAGGGAGCGATACTAGAGGGCCCGAGGAATTATTCCTCGTTGCTCTTGGCATTGAGATAAATATTTAGATTGCTGGGGAAAGTGCCGCTTGTAGCAGATTAGTGGAGAGGCGGGATGTTAGTGGTGTTGCAGGTGAATGTGGTATGTCGCGCGCTGAGGCAGCTGAGGGAGCTGAGGGATTGTTTATTATTGAAGTTGGGACGCTGTCAGAGTAAGCTAGTGGTCCGTGCGCCATTTTGTGGTCGCGGGTGACGGCCTACTGTAGCACAGTTCGTACTCAAAACTCGAACAATGGCATTCATTCAGCCTCAACCTCATTAGGCTCGGGACGATCCAACCAACCCCACCCCTAACCACCATAGGGCTACCGGTGTACTCGAGTATCTGTACAGCAGTATCAAACTATGATATCATACCAAATAATATGGCCGTCTCCAATCGCCAAATTTTCCTCACTAACCTTTCCTTAATCCTCTTTCAGTCCGCAGTTCTTTGGGGACCAGTACTGGTACCGACACGTTACCAGTTTTCAATTCCCACACGCCCCAACAGAAAAAACTAGTCGCCAAGGAATCAATAAAATACATTAGTGCATACGAAAGCACAGAGAACTATGACAATAAGATATCCATGGTAGGCTAGAACCGCGTGTCGGAATTTGTGCTTCTCATGGACTCCGCCCAGGGCCTCTAGGTAAAGCACGGGAAACCCAGCTCACCATCGGATCAAAACACAGGTTATCGCTGGGCATGATCATGCAAGCATTCACTCGACTCTTTAAAAACTGGAAATTCGAATCCCTGTTCAAAGCATATGGTAGCCTATCACAGTTTATAATATTATTAGTTACAGAGACATTCGGACTCTTCTAATCGGGCATAATATCAACTCCAAGAAGAATCCATAATATCTATCTACCCCAATAATTAAGCCATAGAAACAGAATTTTTTTTTAAAATATCAGAAGCTCTTGAAATACCTAACCCCATTACTAATATATTTTCTACGGCTATTTTAATATTCACTTGCTGAAAGGGTGCAAATTTATAGTAGTGTCATATTGTGGACGAGGTCAAAGGTTGCAATCGATGGTACCCGATACTTTCATACTCAGTGGTATCCCTAAAATCAATGACCTTTTCTCCTTCTTGCCTCAATTGAAGATTGTAGGCACCTCCCTCTCCCTATTGATCGCAGCCGCGTTTCACGGTATTCGGTCTGCTCGTTTTTCCTGCTTCCTACCGGTATCCATCGAATTATAAGAGTTTCCTCAATTCTTCATCTTTTTTTCACCGTGTCTATGCGATAGTACTAGGCGCGGTATTTCTAGAGGCCTGAGTGTGGGGGTAGGAACTTGGAAAACTGTTCTGCTGGGCTGATATAATACAAATCCCTATGGAAACGAGGGTCATGCTCTTCGATTCTATGGACACATCCATAATTACTGCGGGATACAGTACAAGCACGTCACAGTGCTGTGAAAAAAGGATTGTCTCGCTTCAAGATACTTAATGCCAGCTACAAGAATTTACTTGAGTAGGGTGTGCTCAATTATCTGTCGAACTCTTGTCTGGTGGAGTGTGTTGTCGAAATTATGCATGCGCATCATAACATAAACTATGCACTCGGATACCGGTGGCCCAGATGCTCTAATTTTTGGTGAAGGGAAATAGTATGCGAACACTTGGCGCAGCGGCTGGAGCAAATACTGTTCTCTGGGTGGTCAGCAAGGCCCTGGGGCCAGTAAGAGCAAGTTCAGCAGATTTGCTCTCCATACTCGGCACTGTATCATACTTGTTACTGCGCCAGACTCGAGCACAAACAACAAGCACAGTACTGTACCACCCCTGGTCTCGGCACCTTGTCTTCCCGGCTCTAGGACAACAACGAGACCCACCACAACAACAGCGCGGCATGAACGCTCACCCCGCGCACAACTGTTCGTCACTCGATTCCAGAGTTTATTGGGATGGAAGTAAGGCTCCTATGTAGCACATCTTACCCTCTAGTAGCTTGCACCAGTAATTCTTATGTATATAACACGTGCTACCCCGTCTGCTGTTGCCAGTGCATTCAAGCGCTTCAACTACTTTTATCTCATTTACTTTCCCTTAGCATCTTTGGACCGTTTCAGTTCAGAGATAGCGGATATGCCGGCATTGAATACCTGGGTAGGACTTCTGGAACGAGAAGCCCTTCCGCCGCCTAACATCACTGACCTTCGCTCTGGGGAAATAGCGGCCATCGTTCTCGGGGCTGTTACCGCTGTTGCTGGGATTTTGGCGTTATTCAAGGGTTGGAAATTCTGGAAACAAAAAAAAAGGGTAATAAAGCTACTCCATTCCTATACTATGGTAGCGGTCCGCTCCCTTGGCATTCCCAAAATTCACAATAGGTTCTGTTTGCCGTGGCATCATACATACTCAAGTATGATAGGTCGCCGAAGCTAATGGTCTTGCGGTGATTAGGGAGCAACTGAGCGGGAGTCAAGGCACGATCTAGGGCATGAATTTGTGTGAGGAGTTTATCCTTATCTTAACTACTTCCAGAGAATAGGGGTAGCTGATGATACCTTCCTAAAGCCGTATTGATGGAGGTGTTAGTATTGTCAATACTACCATAAACAACCACTTCAATTCATACGCAGCCTCTCATATACCTGAAGTAGACGGCGGGTTCTCGAGAGATTCAACGACCGTGCCGAATAATCTGCCCCAACTTCACCTCACTAGCCCTTAGTGCGGGGCTTCGGTCCTACCCTCCTGAACAGGTAAGAAACACTCGGTTTTTATTATTATTTTTTATCACAAAACGAAAAGAAGTTTCGCCTTTTGCCTCCCATCATCCCGTTGTCCCCAAGCGATAGTGTTGTTTCTAGAATTGACCTGGCTTCCGTCATTCTTGTGTCTTCCATAGAAACAGAGACGATCCATGAACTTCTAGACATACCCCTTGAACTGAATGACTGATACGGTATTCTTCCTAGGCTTTTGGGCACTGTTTACTGAGGGTGTTGTTTAGGCTCTCGTGGCGGGCCAGCCGATGGTGCAGGCACCCGGCGCCGCATGCCCGTATGGGTAACTCCGCCTCTGTTTCTAGGAAAGTTACACACAATTATCATAGCCCGGATATTTTTCGATTTTTTCTTCTCTTTTCTTTTTCCATCTCCCTCACTGTCTTTCCTTTTGTTTCCTTGTGTCTTAGGGGCTATTAAAAGGAGACCTCATCTCGTCATTTCCCCGTGACGTGGTCACTGAAATGTATGATTTAAGGTATCATAGTTTGCTTTCTTTTTTCCTTCGCCTCCTAGGAGTTGTTTGTTCACAATTTGGGTGCCCTGTTACTCGAGTAAATACAGGTATACCCAATGAAACATTGAGGCTGCACCTTTTTTTCTTTTTCACTTTCTTTTTCTTCTTTTAGTAAATCTGTCCTTGGTCCTTGCTCGAAAAGAGGAGCCGTTGAACGCAACTTGAATGCACCCAGGACCTGTCCTGAAAAACGTGGACAGTTTTGTCGTCTTCTCCTTCAAGAAGCTGTACTTCTTTTCACATTTTGATGGCCAATGAGTGGCGATCGTTTCACGGGGGGCAACCGCTACCGTGCGAGCATTTCGAGTGTTTAATTCGAGCCTGCGGCGGAAAGAATTGTTACAATATCCCCACTGGCAGAGGCATACCCAAAAAAAGTTATCTAAAAAGTTCGTGCGTTCTCTTGTGTCGTTAATGGGTATATTTCTTGACGTGAATAATACTGGATGGGGAAGTGGGTCGGACACACAAGAGAATCACTTTGAGCGGGAATTTTGCTCAAATCCTCATCGCAGGAATTCGGACAAAATCGAACCTCCGAATTTGGATGGGGAAAGGCAGATATACCATGATGTGTTATGAGGAATACCTCCTCCGCTTGCGCATTTCCTCTTCCAAGTACTCGAGTAGGTACTGGCTGTTTGGTGCTCCCAACTGATCCACTTTCCCGCCAAACCCGGTCCCGGGTCCAACACGTTGCGAGGGGGAGCATGGGAACGTTACGGACGTTGATGTATCCGTTTCCATCGCCTCTCGGGAGTTAGGATTGGAGGGCATGTGTGGGAATAAGTGTGACAACACTAACCCAGTGAAGCGATGTCAAGCTTTTTTCGCCTATCTCAACCTCGGTGACGCCAAGCTTAACCATTGGAGATAGACGCGAGAAATGACGTGTAGCAAGTCACGTGAAATATAGTGCGTTGTCCTTGAGCCTTCAGCCATCGTCATGAGAGGAAAATTGTTGGCTTCCTAACTGTTCATCTCCTTCTTGCCGCACATCCCCCCATCTCATCTCACTCACCCATCCCTCCAAGTCCTATTATTATACCATACTATTCATCAGTGGAAAGTCCAACAACTTCCACACGGAGCCATTCCAGCCTGATCCCAAGAGACACATCATCCAACTGACGGTCCCTTTGTGCTACACCGTAACTATAGCTACACCGCCAATAAATTGTAGCCTGCTATGGATCTGACCAGGTGGGTACAGTATGCCTCTTAGCACCGTTCAGTTATATTCGCGTGCGCCAGGTACGTGAGATCAATACCTATGGGTAATTCGTTCCGCTCACATAATTACGCGCGGGTGAGGGGGGGCGGTGGCACCGGGGCCTGGCAGGATGATTCCAAAAACGATGACGAATGGGCAATCCGAGATTTTACTATCTCCGTAAATATCGCTCTTGGACAAGAAAACACGAAACCGAGAGAAGCGCCCCCAGAACACTCCTGCAAAGCCATACCGTACCCTCCTGAAGACGCGACTGCAGTTGGGGATCGTCAGGGGCTGTTTCAAGTGCTCAGCACCATACCCCACAACGTATCAAAAAATTATTATCCCAACCGTTCCTCCTCCCCTCCCTACAACACACACAAGTAAAAAACGATGAGTTGTTGTCAATCTCGGTAGAATATAACCAATTGCTGTGTCAATTCTTATTTTAGATGGTGGCCTGGGGATGGTCTAGTTTTCTCCGCACATTCCACCTCACACGGTAGGACCTTCTTACGGGATTTTATCTTCAGTGCCATCTCGCGAGGTGGGCTGCCTTATTTGCTCACTCATGCAGAGAGGCGAAGCCACAATGGTATCACCTGCTTCGCTGTTGATTGGATCAATTGAGGTACCTGTGTCCGTTGGCACAATC